AAAAGGAAACTTTAATTAATGGATTTCGTGCGTGTGGCTTATTCCCTTTTAACCCAGATGCTGTTGATTACACGAAGTGCTTGGGAAACAAAAAAGAGCATCCTGAAGTAATTATAAAACCGTTCTTATTTACCTATAAGTTAATTGCCCCTTATCACATTTTTAGGTAAAAAGGATACCCCCGCGCGTGGACCATAGAAAATTTGTCAGTTTGACTGGAGAAAATTTAATCAAGAGATTAAAATCTTTCGATAATCTTTTGATTGAAGAAGGTATTACCGAAGAGTTTTTGAGTTTGTACCAAATATTTTTGATAATCAGGTATTGAACTCGTCTGAGGCTGAACCTGAGTTAGATCCATCTGAGAGCCAACCATCAACTGCGCCAGAAAATAAAATAAATTTGGATGCTGAATTGAATCCATCTGAGAATCAACTTTCAAAAGAACCACAAATTAATATAACACAAAATATAGTCATAAAACCTGGCAAAGACACTATCTATAGTTTGCCATCTACTAGTAAAAATATATAACCAACAAGAAAGAATAAACGTAATATTGAAAGAGTTTCCTTTGCTATAACATCAAAAGAGTATCAAGAGAGTTTTGAAAAAAAAACGTGCCTTAAAGTTAGAATTAGAAAATAAAAAATTGGAGGGAAAACGGAAAAGAGACGAGAGTGTCGCAGCAAAAGCTTTAAAAAAGAGTGCGCAAGGTAATGACAAAGATAATAATTCATGTTTTGTATGCTAAGTTCGTACAATAAAGAATCATTACTTAACATGTAACAGCTGCAAGAAAAGAATTCACCAACGATGTATTCCGAAAAAACATAACGAACATATTCCTGAAGAAGGTGATGAGGATCTATTCATGTGTCATATGTGTTATACTGAGGAAAGCGATGATGATGTTATTTCAGAAATAGAAGGTGAAGAAGACGGCGAAGCGTATAACGAAAAAGAAATCAACTGCAGAATGAGTAAAAAATTTAAACAAAATGAAAGTGAAGAGGATATCGAAGCAGATCATCCAAAAGAATCCAACGTCGAAATCTATGAGGAGCGTGAAAAAATAGAAAGCAATAAAGATCAAGAACCAAAAGAAATTGGCAATAAGAAGATTAACGAAATAAATGCACAGGAACAAAATTACAATTTGCCCGTCGAATCAAAACAAGTAGAAAGTAGGGAAGGTAATAAAGTGGATGAGCAAGATGAAACTAACAGCAAAGTTTATGGAAACCCGGGAGAAATAGAAAGTGAAGAAGCAATTGAAACAGACGATCAAATAAAAACTGACAGCAAAATGTGCAAGGAACCTAAAATGGGAAGTGAAGAAGATCTTGAAGATTATGACGACATGGACGTCGAAGAATTATTTCATATGTACCAATCTGAAATGAAAAAATTTAAATAATTCATAGTTGAGGTTCAATAAAAGCTTTTTAACACTGATTTCAACTTTTTATTTGCTTTTAATCATCACCTTGCCAGTGACCAATAACTGGAAGTTTTGTGTCCATTAATTGAATTTTTGGTCCAATAACTAACTTTTCGGAACCTTTTCAGGTTTTTTCAATTTTTATTAAAGAGCTGTAATATTAGGAATATTTGAAATCCGTCAGCTTAAAATAGGATGCATGTACGAAAACCTGGCATAGGCAGAATGATATCCGTTAAAAAATACTCCAGAGGCAGCGACTTGAAATTCAAAAAAAGCTTAACTGTCCAATAACTGGTATGTTTACCCTATTTCAGTTTATTGTTTCATAACTTTAAGATTCGATAGAACTTTTAAAATTAATGCATAAAGTCTATATAAACATGGGTCGAAAAATGCGTGGCTTCCGAAATGCAGGGTGTTTAAATTTACTTTTTAAAATAGTTTTTTTTAAATATTTCGAACAATATTTGATGTATAACAGTGAAAATTGGTATACAAGGGTTTTTTGGTACGACAAAACGATCCATGGGCATAGTTTTACTGTAGCCGCTAGAGGGCGCTCTCTGCTGTACCTGTAGTGTATTAAAATGACCGAACAATTTTTCTTCGTGCAATTTTTTGCTTTTTGAATAATAAAACTGATTCTTCGCACTTTTCTGCATAAAAAAGCTCTCTTGTGAGTTTTCGTTATAGTTAGCCGTTTTTGAGTTATTTCGATTTTTAAGGTTCGCTGCATTTTTAATTATTTATGGGAAAATAGCATTTCTTTACATTTTCGATTTGGGCATTACAAGTAATTAAGATGATCGTCTAGATTGTGTTTTTAAACACAGCAATAATTCCTAACTCCAAATAAACGCAAAAAAAAACAGAATATTAATTTGTTTAATTTTCCAATATTATTTTTAACAAATTAAATTAATTATTTACAACTAAAATGCTATTGGATAGTTAGAACAAACATACAAAATCTAAAGTAGTTGCTCGAAATGTAAACCCAATTGTTCAATACACAATTCACATCTACGAATGATCGAACGTGGTATAGCATTATTCAAATAAGGCCTTATTTCATCACATGCATTCGTGATTCTGTCTATTAGCATATCTCTTGTGGTTACGGGAGTCTGGTACATTTTTTCTTTAAGAAATCCCCACACAAAGAAATCTAATGGATTTAGGTCAGGGATCGTGGAGGCCAGGCGACTGGTCCTTCAACCATCAAGCTGGAACCAATCCACCCGTTCACACTAAATTCATGCTGAAAATTTCTTTCCCGAACTGCATGCGGATTTTCATGCGACCAAATATGTTGATTATGAAAATTTACCACTCCACGTCTAGTGAAGCATGACTCATCGGTCCATAAAACGTTACTTAAAAACTCTCTATTATTATCAGTTCTGTCAAGAATCCACTGACAAAATGTGATTCTTCGTTCTCCGTCCCCTGGCTGTAGTCCTTGCACAGGTTGCAAAGAGAGCTTTTTTATGTTGAAAAGTGCGAAGAATCAGTTTTTTTATTCAAAAAGCAAAAAATTACACTAAGAAAAAATTTTCGGTCATTTTAATACACTACAGGTACATTAGAGAGCGCCCTCTAGCGGCTACAGTCAAACTATGCCCATGGTTCGTTTTTTCATACCAAAAAACCCTTGTATACCAATTTTCACTGTTATACATCAGATATTGTTCGAAATATTTAAGAAAAAACTATTTTAGAAAGTAAATTTAAACACCCTGTATTTCGGAAGCCACGCATTTTTCCACCCATGTTTATATAGACTTTATGCATTAGTTTTAAAAGTTCTATCGAATCTCAAAGTTATGCAACAATAAACTGAAACACCCTGTATTCGTACGTAGTAACCCTGTCGTTTTGACAGAGACTGGCATATAGACAAAACTAGTTGTCTTTTAATGTAATCATTTCATCTACGATTATTTTACCAACTTACGCGCCGAAAATGAGGATCAACTGTCATTATTGAATAGTGTGTGATTAGTTTTTTTTTTTGTAGGGAGTAGCCCATTTGCCATTTTTGCGAGCTTGAACTCTGTCATTGTTTGGTTCTGCAATACAAGATTATTGGGATTCGCAGAAGAGACATACTGGATGGCTTATTATTCCGTTCCATTCAAGTTTAATCCGCGTAATGTGACTGCTACTTGCAGCAACGATACCAAACAATCGACATCTATTTTCATCATAAAATGATAATCAGCTAAGAGCTTATGCCTATCCGATTAACGTGAGCACGTATATCCAAGGGAGCAACAGTTGGTATTGAAATTAGTCGTCCCGCTTGAAGAAGCATCCTGTGCTGGGAATTTTAAATATTGGATGGATTTTGATGTATATACATCCATAATTAAGGCACACAGCATCGTACTTACAGTGGCCTGCATAATGAATGACACAACGCAATATACAGCCGAGTACTTAGATTGCTACAGCAGCTATTGATTCAAATGCACGCTGTGTTAGGAAAATAAGTTTTAACGAAGTTGTCAGGGGAGCGGTAAGGAGCACGCGTAATTGGCTATCACTCAATGGCAAAGGACAAATAAGTTGACCCTGCACTTCCTACCTATCAAAGGATGTTCAGGTTAAGTGAGAAAAAAGTTAGCTACGCATGTTCAAGTACATGTGTATACCAACAAAACCAAATGGATCAAAGCAGTCAAACAGGACCATAGAATGTATCCATAGTTCGCACGCTTTTGACAACGTTGTGGTTGACTGACTCGGACTCACTGACCTTAATTCGGTCAGACCTCGACGCAGATGTATCTACGTTTGTGGCGTTGCTTTGTCGCCTTTGTTGAAAACATTACTATATAATTCAAAGCTCTAGGGGAAAATGTACGAGGAATTCTATACTGTGTAAAGTATCTCTTATATGAGCATAGTGTTACCAGCACGGGTATCATGTAAAAAACCTATAAAACGTCAAAAAAAACCTATAAGATGTCAACTTGCAAACTAGGTAATTTTTAGTTGGCAAACAGTCATTCCATGTTTGCTCACTAGGATCGTTGTGAACGTCCATCTATGGAGGAATCACTCAACTAAGCTACGAACTATTGGTTGCATAGTTTTGTGAGGCTGAGTGATCCGGGTCTGTAGTTTTTATCTCTGAGAAGAAAGTTGGTTGAATAGCAAGATCGCATCTGGATGACTATGTGTATTGGTCTGCATGTGTATAAAATCGGTGATAAATTTGCTGTGTGCGAAAATCATTACTGAATATGCCGAATATGACGGGTTATTTATATGTTGCGCTTTCTGAAGAGAGGTTATGTTCAAAGTTATAAATTACGAAAACCTGAGGAGAATTATGGGAAATCATCGCCGCACCCGCGTTGTGTGTAATTACTGTTAGCATGTATACGAGGGATGTCTTTTAAGTTTTGCGTATGAAAATAAAACAACACGGTAAGTAGTTTTAAATGTTGTTTTTCGAAGTATTCTCCACGAAGATTAATACACATCTGCTTGCGCTCGAACCAATTTTCGAAGCACTTAATCCACTCGTTTGCTGGCAGACCCAAAACGGCATTTTTGAATGCGTCAACTGCTTCTTCTGGTGACTGGAACCTTTGATCACGCAGTCTGTTTTTAATTTTCGAGAAAGTAAAGAAATCGTTAGGACTTAGATACCAATCCGCAGTAACAGTTCTTTGCTCATTAAGAGGAATTTTTGCAATATGACCCGCTTTTGACACGAATGTCGCGACCATCTTTTTCGAAACACTTCGAGAACGGATGACTGTTGTTGGATTTTCTTCACCTTGGAACACCCAAAACGGCCGACTGTCGTTTATTTTCTGGTTCATAGCAGTATATCCATGATTCATCACCACTAATAATGCTGTACACATTTTTTGGGTTTCCGGAATTGAAACGGTCAAGCGTTTTTTGACACCAATTAACCCTGGCTGCTTTCTGCTCTTCAGTCAACAGGTGGGGTATCCAACAAGAAACTAATTTTCTTACTCCTAATTCCTCATCTAAAATTTTTTGAATTGAGGTCTTTGAAATCTTCAAGGACGCCTCAGCATCGACGTTTTTCTGGGTGACTGCTGTTTTTGGTGCACCCACCCTGGGATCGTCACTAAGACTCACCCGTCCACGTTTGAATTCCCCGTACCAATGGGAAATTGTCGGCTGATGTGGCGCTTCGTTGTGTCTCTATAGTTGATCCTATTTTGTTCACGCTGTATGTTTCGGATTTAGACAAGGCGATCAAATATTGCAAGATGCACATATACGTAGATGCCACCATCTTATATTTATCACATGATCCCTCTGAGGCTCAACCAGCATCAACAAACCTGCCGATGTCAATATTGTATGTTGTTGGTTTAAAAACAACGGATTGAAGGTCAACCCAACAAAATCAGTTTGCGTAAGTCTACAAATAGGAGTTTTCAAAGGAGCATCGTGAAACTTTATTTCAAACAAACTGATCGTGTGCTTAGAGTACGTTACCTTGGTATAACATTCAATGAACACCTTACCTTTCATGTTCAAAGCGCTTACGCAAAGTTGAAATATACTTACAGTTTTAGAAATATTCTGCATTAAGATTGCAAAATAACTAACAGCCTAATCCTGAGTAAGCTGGGGTATGCTGATTATGTTATTGGTCCCTGTCTAACTCAACAGGAGACTTCCTGAATACAAAATGTCCAAACAAGCTGTGTACGTTATATTTTTGCAATCTCAAAAAAATCGAACATCTTAAGGGTATATAATGGCTTACAATGTATCAGCGTTGGGTAGTATAGGTACATCCTTCTCTCCATACAATCATCTATAATAAAAACCCAGTTTATCTATTTAGCAAAATGTCTTTTAGAAGTAGCATGACTTAAACTTGCGCTATGTCGGACATACACTTAATCTACCGGACAACATTCTTAAATAAATCTTTCTTCTATGTGGCACCTTCACAATATAATAACCTTCTAGCTACTTTAAAAACTCTGCCGATACAATCCTTCAAAATTAAAATGAAACAGTTTTTAAAGGTTGTACATGATATTGTTTAACCTATTTTTGCAATAACAATGCGATATACCTTGCTGAGAATACTGTACAACTTGTAAAGGGTAGGCCATCCGTTGTTTTCTTTTTTAAATTCGTATCAAAACTACCCTCTTCAACAATATCTAACACTCGATACTTTATTCAAAAGTGATGGAGAGGTGCATAAATCGCGAGCTTCTGGACTACCTCGAACGTCACAGTTTGATTAGCGACAGGCACTACGGTTTCCGGCACCAACGATCCACAGGGGACCTCCTAGCTTACGTCACGCAACTGTGGAGTAAACTCATCCAGTCTCATGGTGAGGCTCATGTCGTTGCTCTTGACATTGTAACAGTTTCACCATCCGATCGTATTTATTAAATCACTTCTCGATTATCATTTCAGAATCGCAAATCATTAATCCCATCTCTAGCTTTTTTACTTGGAAAATTTTCCGCTTGGAGCGCTTGATGCGGAGTTCCTGGTCTGCGATCTTCCTCGCGCTTCCTTTTCACTTGAGCCGCCGATCGAACAAGAGCTAAGAATTTTCCTCTCTGTAGCACAAGGTCAAATAGCACCATGTGCTAGAATTTTGTAGAATGTGTGTCCGTATAGGACAAAATGGTGAGTTTTATAGTACTATACAGTTTTATTGCTGGATCTGCCTGTAGTTTATAGATAATCCATATGTAAGTGGTTTATTTCTTGTACGATTTTAAAATATCCATCGAACGTCATTTTCGACTACTTCGATCATTCGCCATAACTTTAATCAAATCGAGGTGGAAATCGATCCACATCGATTTTACCTCTGTGTGCGTATATACGTATTCATAGTTCAGTGAAGTTATAAGTACGTTGATTATGAATATTCGATATTTGTGTTTTTATATCAGAAGCATGTGGAGAAATTTTTGATGACCACCATCTTGTTTTACGCTTTTTTTTGCTATTTCATGATTTTATTTTATGAAAGGCATTTCCAATTTTCGGTTTGATTTTAATCAAACTATATAATGAAATTCTAACCTAGAAAATCGTTGGTTCTCTTTTGAGGCAGACTGAGATTGGAAATGCCTTGGCCATTAGGGCACGTTGCTAATGCACACGGTTCTTTTTCAGATTGGGGCCACCCCCTTTCTCTTTCCCTTTCCCTTTGCCTCAGTCTTTGACTTTGCCTTGCTGGGCCAATCACTTCACCCATGCATGTGCCTTGGCAGCGCCATCGCCAACAACTGGTTATGAAGCCACTATATGGAGGTCACCCCTCATAACTGGGACCTCCACTTCAAGCACCTGGCCATCCTGGCTTCAGTCGAGTCAAAATGGACCAGCGAAAGATAAGTTGATAGTTTTATAGCAGCGCCAAAGATGTAAAACTTATTTTGTTCTTTAAAACTGTAAAATTGTAATGTAATGAAAATGCTTTTTTTTATTAAATAAAATCTGTTAAATTTTTGTGTTCTGTTTGTTCTTCTATCCTCTAGCCATGCCATGGTCGGCACACAGCTACACGCCTGTAGATGTCTTCATGCCACCGACTGAGCTACCGGAAGCTAATTGTAACCCCCTTTCTTGATTGTGCAGAAAAGTTGGAATCTTCATTGCATTCCATCTTTTCTGGACTTTTTGCGGAAAGGAAGCGTTACAACATCACGAAAGCGTTCGATCAGCAGTGGCACGCTGCCCTCTTAAGCAAACTTCCATCCTACGGCCTCCCAGAAAAGCTTTGCAGATGGGTGGCTGACTTTATCTCTGGCCGCAAGATATCCGTCGTAATTGACGGATTCTCCTCTTCATCCCATAACGTCAACGCGGGTGTTCCCCAGGGATCGGTCTTGGCTCCAACACTGTTTCTCTTACATATCAACGACCTCCTTTCCCGCACGATCAACCCAATCCACTGCTTCGCTGATGACAGCACTCTACATGCAGGAATTCAGAGTAACAAGCCGATCTCTGCCGCTGAGCTGGAAAAAAGAAGACTAGCGACGACTTCCTCTCTGACAAGAGACCTGGAGGCTATCACTGCTTGGGGACGCAACAATCTTGTACAGTTCAATGCTTCCAAAACACAGTACTGTACTTTGACGAACAAAAAGCGTCCTAGCGCTCATACAGTTTCGATGGACGGTCGAGTTCTACCAAAGAGCCATTCATTTCGGCTGGTCGGAGTCCAGATCACCGAGGACCTGATCTGGCACGAACACATCTCTTCAATAGCTGCAGCTGCTGGGAAAAAGCTAGGCTATTTGTTTAGGGCTAAGAAGTACTTTTCTCCGCATGACCTTCTCACTCTATACAAAGCCCAGATAAGGCCTAGCCTCGAGTATTGCTCACACATTTGGGGTGCTGCCGCCCCGACTACATTGTCCATGCTCGATGCTGTCCAGAGGAGGGCGGTCCGACTGATCGATGACTCTTCTCTAACAGACAGTCTCGGGACTCTTTCGCACCGGCGGGTCGTCGGCGATCTAGCTCTTTTCTATCGCTACACCAACGGGCTTTGCTCCTCAGAGCTCTCCTCCATGATGCCGCCGCGCGATGTGCCTGCCAGACAGACCCGCCTGACTTCGGCGTCCCATCCTAACCGTGTCAAGCTTCGTACATCCAGAACTGGCCGATACGACCGCTCCTTTGTCCCGAGGGTGTCTAGATTGTGGAACAATCTACGGGAGGAAGCTTTTCCCAGTTCTACTAACCTTAGGCAGTTCAAAAATCGTATTAACAAAATTTCTTTGGGATCATCATAGCAGCTGCGGTGTTCCGGCATTTAGGCTTCTGTCTGCGCGGCTGTTTCGATATAAAAAAAAACACCTTTCGATTATTTATGAAAAACAATTTCAGTTAAATGGCTGCCGCCGCTGGCCTGGCAGCAGTCCATCCTCTTAACCCAATTTTGAAGCACATTTTCGATGGTTTGTGGGTCTATTTCATCAATAGCTCGACGGATATATAAGAACACCAATTGTTTGAGGATCGTTAGTGTAACAGCGGTCTTTAACAGTAACCATAGAAAGTAATCCATGGGCGTCAAATCACAGCTGCTTGCTGGCCAATGAACGTCTCCAAAACGGCTGATAACGCGATGACCGAGCATAGTGTGTAAAAGATCTATTGTTTTACGGCTGGTGTGGCATGTTGCGCCATCCTGCTGGAACAAGAGATTGTGCAAGTGCATGTCGTCAAATAGTGGCCACAATAAACTCCACAACATGTCTCTATAGCGTTCCCCGTTTATCGTCACGCTCTTATCATCTTCATCTTAAAAAAAGTAGGGACCAATAATCTCACCACTAAAAAAGCCACACCAAACGAGAAACGACATCTAAGCGAATGGTCATTTTGTTTCAACTCTTGCACAAGTTGCACCTTGTAAGGAAATAATCCCAGGTCTTTATGCAATATTCTCCGCACAGAAGTGCGACTGATACCCACTTGTTGTGCTCTGTGACAAGTTGACATTCTTGCATTTTCACGCACACTCTGGGCAACAGCAGCAATGTTTTCGGCTGTACGTACGGATCGAACACGCTCATTCCTTCCGTTATCCACAATCAGGCCAGTTTCATGACCTTGTTTACGAATTTTCGTATACC